GGCCAATATTGCCAGCAGAGCCAAAGCACAAGAGTTCATTCAAGCAACCAGCCAGGTGACTCAGTGGAGCTTCATTCATCTGCAGGGGGGAGGAACATTTTAGTGCATGTTCCACTCACACACACACTGTGCTAGAGTGGGACCTTGCTGGTTCCTCTGTGGGACCTTGCTGGTTCCTGTGTGCAGCCTTTTTGAAACGATGATCCTGTTCTTGTTTGAATGACCGTCGACTCGTTTGTCTCCTTTCTCACGTGCAGATGCTCTCACAGGCCAATCAGAACCAGTCCCAGCAGCATGTTCTCACTCCTTCGGCGTCCTCTTCCTCTTCATCCTTACAAATTCCTCCCCCTCCCTCTCTCCCCCCACCTCCTGGACTGAGCCCAGCCCAGTTCATTCTGCACGGCTCCCTCCCATTGGTTAGCTGCACTAAAACTCCACCTTCACACCTGCACCCGTCAATAGCTGGTGGATGCGCTCAGACTCCACCCTCCATCGTACCTGTGGGGATGACAGGTGTGTCTGGGAGTTCTAGTGACACTGGATGGGACAATGAGAGCAAAGACCCGGATAAGGTAAGCTTGAACTTCCTGTGTTGGTGGGACGGGGTTTAGCTGTGGCCTTTTTGTGTTTGCTGTGTTGTTTGTGTGGGTTCCTTTATTTAACATGAGTCTTACCTGAATTGCACAGTACCTGAAGAAGCTGCATACACAGGAGCGGGCAGTAGAGGAGGTCAAGCTGGCGATCAAGCCTTACTATCAACGCAAAGACATCAACAAGGAAGAATACAAAGACATCCTCAGGAAAGCAGTGCATAAGGTGAGCTTCACACACAAATCCAACCACACGTAGCACTGTTTTATGATCACATGGCTCATGTTGACTTTGCACTTTGTTGCTACAGCAGCGTAAAGTTGACAGTGTGGCTACAACATGCAGTGTTTCTACAGTGAAACTATGGATGTTTCCACTGAGATGGTACCACGCCTTTGTGTAACGCATTAACAAATAAATAATATACATTTAGTGAATTGGTATTTATCAGTAAAATCATATGAATTAAGAAGAATTAAGACTAATATGAATATTGACATTATTAGCAAAGTTTATTTGCATTAGTCTCAGATCAGCTTGTATTTATTTACACTGGCACGAGTCTATTCTTCTGCTTTTCCTATAAGCACACATCCGCGCACACCTGCACACATCCTCGCACATCCGCGCACACCTGCACACACCTGCACACATCCTCGCACATCCGCGCACACCTGCACACACCTGGACACATCCTCGCACATCCGCACACACCTTATAAATAAGGTTGCTGACATCAGGTTTTCTAATCACGAGCAGTAAGAGCATGCTGGCAGCTCTTCCAGAGAACGTAAGAACAAAGAAACACCATCTGTGCATTTCATTCATGCAGCCTCACATGAACACTGTCACACTCTGCAGACACACAAAGGAACGCTGTTGGTGTGGAGTACTTTGTAACTGCTGACCCTCTGCTGTTAGCTTTCTTTGTGGTGTGCTAGCTATCAGCTGCCGAGCAGTGCCCTGCTGCTGTGTAGTGCACCTGAGTGGATCATCCTGCTCTTTCATTGGAGCTTTTATGATGGGATTGGACCAACATGTAGTCAAAATGTGTGATCTGTGCGTCCATAAATGAAGCTATGTGCTTGTGTTCTGAGTTGTTACTGACTGTTTAATCACACTGTGTCTTTATCTTAGATCTGCCACAGCCGCACTGGAGAAATCAACCCAGTCAAAGTCAGCAACCTTGTGAAGCTGTATGTTCAGCGCTACAGATACTTCCGTAAACACGGGCGCAAAATGGACGAGGAAGAAAGGGATGACAGGGAGCCAGGAGCGCTGCATCCCTCTGCCTAATACAAGACTTTTTTGGGGGGGGGTGTGTTCCACCTTTGCCACAATCTGCTCAATACGTGAGCAGCTCGCTGATTGTCATTGCCTAATTTTATTGTTTCCTTCCCTTGTCTATACTTTCATGTAGAAGTATGTATCCTCATCGCTGTAATCATGTTGTAAATATTCCTTTCCAAATGTATCATGAACTCAAGGTTCAGTAAGTAGATCCTGTCTAGTGTGAGCTAATACAGTCCCAGATTGAACCCTGCAATAAATCCTGCCTTTGTCTAGTTCTTAGTTTTTGTTGGTTGGATTTGTTAGAAGTGTCTCAATGGTGGGACTAATTACAGGACCTTTTTTAATAGTATTGAATTAAATGTTTCTCCTCTCCTTTATATCAACATCCAGACTGAGAGGAGATGTGATACCCAGCTGCACACCCAAAGGAGTTAAACAATACTAAACAGAAGTACTGCGTGTCCCTGTGTCTTTACAGGCAGCTTGTAGGCTGTTGGTCACTGCTGTCTCACTTCTTTTATTGTGTATTCTGTGCATGTTATTGAGACTGACAGTTATACCGTCTCTTTATAAAATGACCAACACACTATAAATGTTGCTTAACACTGGTAAACATTGTATTATTTATTTTGTCTGCTCTCTGTCAGTTGTTTCTGTTCATAGAGAGACTGTTCAGGACTTTCGACCCGTCTACCACAGCTGTAGCTGCTGCTGGAGCCTCACGTCACAGGCCAGACCGTCCAGTTTAACCACCCTCAGACTGGGCAGGGTCCTTCAAAGGCTGCAGCCCCTGAACTTGGACACAGCCTGTAGACTAAACTATAATAATATAACAGACAGTATATAACTACGAACTCTGGCCAGCTGTGTCGATCGCTTATCTATGTTGGCCCCAGCTGTTCTTAGTGAACACTACATGATGGCCCCACGTGACCTTCGTTACATAAATGTACATACAATCCACTAACACGTCATTTTCCAAGTTGGATTCATGTGCAGAGAAGAGACACAGGCCGACTACACTAACAGGATGTGATGTTACAACAATAGTCAAATATTAGTGTGTAATATTTGTCCAAAACACATTTCTTTGTTATGGAATAAAATGAATTCTAAAATCATCTTAACCAATAAGAGTGGCATTTTCTAGAACTTCATGTGTGTAATTGGACATTTCTTACCAGCGTAAGCTAAAGAGAAACACAACCATTTCATTTAGTTTACTAGTTTATTTGAAAGACACAAGAATGTGAAACCCTGAAAGTTACAAATGTAACGTGCATGAAATGGGAGCTAAACGCGCCCGACCTAATGAAGTCAAGCTGCCTGTAGGCTGGGCGCTTGGCCACAAGGGGGCAGTAGTTGGCTGGAAACTTTTCAATATTTTATTGGTCAAGAGCAACAAGAAAGACGAACTGTTTAAATGTGGCCACACAAACGGAATATCCGGTGTTTACTTCCTGGTTTAGCGGAAGCGTTTACCACACATCTGTTTGACCGGCTCCAGCTCATCTGGAAGGCACGTGCCGTGCCAGGCTAGGTGTCCCCAACAGAACGGGAGCGCGCACGGGGCAGGGAGCGTGGAACCACGTGACTCCACCGCCACTGCAACAACTAGACGTGAAAGTAGTGAAGTTTTACTGAAACTGTAACACGAGTGTTGTGGGTTACAGCAGAAACGATACCTACCTACCATACATCCGGTTTACTGCACGTGGCTGTGGCCATCGGTCCACTACCAGCCATTTCATTTTGTACAAATCCACTCTTCCAAGTTTGCGTGGGTTTCCTTCTGACCACACGCAGCTCTCTGCACCACCTGTTCAACATCACACCGTGTTTACATCCCTCCTACGTTACTGTGATCAAATACGAGTCCACTAACTTTATTCTCAAAATGGTCAATAATGTGTTTTTCTTCTGTGACCCTAATAAAATAATTCAGTAAAAAGGACTCGATGTTACAGTCCCGGATAATGCATTGCTTTAAATGGAGATAATCTTAAGCGATGGCTGTTATGAGGAAAGGCAGCAAAGACACTTTACCAGTTTGGGTCAGTAGTGGACCTTGGATTCATCAGGTGTTTCGGCCATTATCACTAGACACCCTCATCCAAGGAGGCCCAGCCAGGGTTGATCAGGCCCCAGAGTGTCACTGTTTTATGTTAAAATGTTATTTTTCTTCTTCTTTCTTCTGCTTAGTTTCCTACAGTTTATTTTCTATTCACTGCAACTGACAAATAATACCTCTTTAGCATTTATGGAGCCTCACTTCTTCAAAGGGATAGAAAAGGTGACAGAGAGGAGTAAGACAAAAGAGAAGTGGCGTGCCCGACCTGGCTTCCCACACCTCCCCGCCGGATCGGGCTGTACAATCCGGCGGGGAGTGAAGTTATTATTTTATTAATGTACAATACAAATGAATTATTGGCAGTTTGCCTTGAAACAACTGTAATCTGCATATTTTGACTTGATTTTTAAAGTAGCTCTAATATTCCGTCGTAGCTTCGTTTCAGGCTCTTTGTTGGGTATATCTTCAAAGGAACCAAAACTATCCAGTTATTTTGGACTTTTTCTGGAACAACAATCGCTTTGGCGCATACGCTATAAAAGGCTGTGAAGAGTCAGAGGGTGTGTCTTTCTTTTCATAAATTAATGTCGACTCAAAACTTTTTATTCGCAAAATCAACATATAAACAAAATGCACCATATATTAGAGTCATTCAGAAAATATAAACTTCTTCCCAATTAGCAAACTTTGTACAAAGAAAATAAAGATATAAAGACGGAGTCATAAAGGTTAACAGAGTATTAACTCACTAAATCAAAATCTTCCAAAAAGTAAACAAAAATGCATTTTTTGTTTTAACTAAAGTCAAAGATTTAACCAACAAGTTTAAGTCGTTTTTCCAGTGAAGTAGGGTTGGTTTGGTCTTAAAAGACGAAATTTATGTATATATTGTTTACACAAGATAAAACATTAACATCATAATTGACTTTGTTTTCCTTCATAAACACAACAATATCATAATGTCGACTCAACGGTTAATTCTAATTTTTACGATCAGCTTGGCTGAACGATTCGTTTTACGACAATTTTCGTCATTTTGCGGCATCCCGCCATTTTATTTGCGAACTCTGAACAGTTAGCTATTTGTCGCCGCTGCACGCTGTGGGTACCCTGAAGATAAGAATCTTATTTCTAATAGATCCACGTATATTATCTCCTTCAGTCGAAGTAAGTTCGTCACAAAGGACCTGATCTACCTGATCTCGCGCTTCTTCTGCTACATGATCTGAAATTTGCTAAACACTGGAGGAGAGAAGGTAAGACTCCGCGGACGCTGCATGTTAGCATAGTGAGCTTGGTGGCTAATTGGAAAGGCTCAATTAAGCGCTAAGCAAGTCGATGGGACTTAAAGCTGTTAGCGCGTACATTTCAGACATCGTTGCCGTGCTGTTTGTAAGTTAAGGAAGATGTTGGGTGAAAATGAAACGCGTGCTCGCCTTATTGTTGTAGGAGTGTCGTCGTAATCGGGACAACAGTTAGCATGTACCGAGAACTTCCGCTCTTGGGGCTGTCGCGTGCTTCAATGCCCGGATTGACCAGCATATAAGTGTCAATGAAGTGATCCCCTTGTTGTTGCAATAGGTGAAAAATGACGCAGTTCCTACCACCCAACCTCCTGGCCCTCTTTGCTCCACGGGACCCAATACCCTTCCTACCTCAGTTGGTGAAGTTGCCCCACGAAAAGCACCACAACCAGCCGTACAGTGGGATCGCCCCGTTCATCAGACATTTCGAGGTGAATGTAAAATCTGCTGTGCGCTTTGGTTAGCCCTTCTTCTTCCGTCCCACGTTAGTCCTGTTAAATATCTCCTTTCTCTGACCAGGACCCGAGAGATGCACCGCCTCCGACAAGAGCAGAGACCCGTGAAGAGCGGCTGGAGAGAAAGGTGAGTGTTCAACCTGCTCCTCCTGCAGCGAAGAAGGTTTGACTGAAAGCTTTGCAGACAGACAGTAAGACTGGCACTGTGTAAGAAAGTTCAGATTACATCAGAAATATTCAGTACACTGTAAGTCCAAGAAAAACAGCCACACAGAGATATGACCGGAGACCTGTCACTGAGTGATCTGTACATTATACAGCTTTATAGAGAACAGGAGGAGTCAGTGTGAGGGAGCTGTGCTGGAGAGCAGTTTGTTCACTTCCTGTCCCTCATCGACGCCTCCCGATTCTGACCAATGACACTTCCAGCCAGCTGCTGCCAGAAAACGTCTGCAGGTGGCATATTTCAGATCTGAGGTGACTGACTGACCCCGTGCTGCTCCAGTTAACCACAAAATCAGAGAGGGTGCTCCCAGAGTACGCACCGAGGCCTGAGCAGCTTCTCACTTAGAAGCAGATGTGGTTGGATAGTTTTTTGTTTTTAACGAAAAATGCAGCAGCAGCAGCAGCATCCGCCTGACAAGAGGCAGGTGAGCAAACTGAAGAGCGAGGACGGATCAAGAAGCAGCCTGTCCAGGACCTTTGAGTGAACGTGGCGTCGTCCACAGCACCGGCAGCAGAATCAAGCTGAAGAGAAGCTGAGAAACTTGGCTCAAAAGGTTACAAATGTGTGTGGGTTTAGAGGACTCGCACGCTTCAGTCCACACACACAAATGCAAAGCAGTGTGAGCACACGTAAAACTACTTATAAAAGCTTTTAACCGAACCTGAAACCAATCATTTACACACCACATAAGAAGTTTAGCTTCACTAGTTCTCTCTGAATAGACTTTCTGTTCATGCAGATGTCTGAAACTGCGTCTGCTTACGTACAAAACTTTGAATATGTGTGCATGAGTCGCCCGATACGCACATGTCACACTGCATGCCTGAGCTTCACGCTGCTAGCTCTGCACAGATGTCAGCTGTGTTCACGTCCGGGTGTAACACTGAGGTGTTTCAGATCATCAGACAAAAAGAGTGCACGTTTCTATATGAAGGTTTTATTATTAAGGGGAAATGATCAATGCTCTGCATTTGTATGGATCGAAGCATGTGAGTCGTTACACACAAATCACTGCACACATTCGTGTTGTTCCTTCATGCTTGTGGATCATTTGTAACCGTTTTGAGGCCAGTTTCTCTCCACACTGCTGGACAGCACAGGGTTTGAGCACCGTGGGAGCTGCTTCTCCTTCTTCTTTCCACACTGGAGCTCTTTCAGAGTCAGGTTCTCCTGATTAAGACTCTCAACTCCAACTGCACAGATCAGCCAGGCGGCTCTGGAAGAGTGCTGGTAGCTGCAGACGTCTTCCATGTATAGACGATGTAGGCTGCGGGGCTCTTAAATACTGCACACATTTTTCTGTAGCCTCCTTCACTTACAATCAGCCTCTGAGGACAACTCCTTGGACTTCAGCTTGTGTTCTCTGACGTGGACTGTCAGCTGTGGGACCTTTTTATAGAGAAAGTGTTTCTTTCCAAATAATGTCCAGTTTGCTTTATTTACCACAGCTGGGGCTCCAGTCAGGCTGTAGACATAACATCTGACAGGTGATCAGTGGAAACGGGATGCATCTTAACTTTATGGGGTGTTTTGTGAAGAATTTAGAGGTGGAAATGAATTTAATCCAATGCTGAAAGAGACTAGATGAAGCTCTGTGAAGTCTGTGTGTGTCAGGTTTTCTGAGAACACGACAACGATCGTTAAGAAAGCTGCGCACTAACCGTTTCTGTGAATCTTTTTGTAGAGACGAGAGAAGATTGAAAGGAGGCAAGCAGTGGTAGAGACAGAGCTGAAGCTTTGTAAGTTCCTGACACGGCACACGCTCTGCAGACGCTGCACGATGTGGAGATTTGGCCTAATGTTGCTTTTCTGTTCTGCTATCAGGGGACCCTCATAATGACCCCAACGCACAGGGCGACGCCTTCAAGACTCTGTTCGTGGCACGAGTGGTTAGTATATCCAAATAGCTGCCTGCCCAAGTGTGTTGGGCGTGGGGTTTTTGGGTGGGGGTGTTACCTGTATGAACTGTGTGAACTCTAAATATCTTCTTTCTACAGAATTATGACACCACTGAGTCCAAGCTGCGCCGAGAATTTGAAGTGTACGGCCCCATCAAACGGGTACGTTTCCACGGTCCCGTCTGAGTAACGTTGTGCTTAATGTCTTATTTATTCAGTTAGTACTGTTTTCAACTGTCGCGTACGGTACACAACTGGCATCGGCACACTTTTGTGTGTTGCCCATTAACTATCAAATGTAGCAGTGCAGCAATGGTGAATCGAACAGAGGATATTTGAGCCACGCTCACAGCCATCCAGATCCAGCTAAGCCTGTTCTGCAGTCTAACAGTATCAGGTCACTTTCTACAGGAGGAGAAATGTTACTCTTGATTATTGGAATACTTTCCACCTGCTGTAATAGTTGTACTGACTGTCGGGCTCGTGTACTGGACACGTGTCCAATTGGAGTCCGTGTCTTTCTAAAGCTGCTCCGACATGAGATTTTCTCCAGAAAACAGCTCATCTATTGAAATCATGGCGGTCCATAAATAAAGTGTTGAAGGCCGAGTCACGGCAGCTCGTTCAATCCCAACCTGTAAAGCTGTGTCGTCACACGAGTAACGTCTCATTATGAGGAGAACCAGTGAGCTCTGTCATGACCAAACTGGTGGCACTGGTTACAGAAACATCTAAGCTCTGCAGCAGTGTTGGGCCGTAGTGGAGAAGTGGAAGGAATCACCATAAACTGGTCACAGAAGAGCCAAACTGAACTCCTCGTCATTGAATCAGGAGCTCATTCAAACCCAAACCTCTGTTGTCTTGACAACGACACACCGTGGTTCCCGAGTCTGACAGCGAGCCCGCACAGAGCAGCGGGTATGCTGTTCCCTCCACACGCTCCTGTGTCGCATACGTGAAACCACGTGTTGCTATAACAACCCCACGCACACTAGCTGGTACTCGATTGTCATGGAAATGATCAAAGTCCAGTTGAGCCAAGCTGGTACTGGTGGTACTGGCTGTTTGGATGCTGTAATACCAGTCCGTGTGTGGAGGTCCAGAACCTGAGGAGCGTCGGACTGGTTTGTGCATACAGCAGCTGCCAGCTTTCATTACTACACATCTGGACAGCTGTGGTTCGATGTGTTGGCGTGTGTGTAGCACGCCTTGTTACTGACTTTGATGTCAGCAGCACCTTCAGAACATCAAAGATCGACGATGTGTTCAGTACTTATTTCTGTTATGAAGACAGACTAACGCATGTGCACTGGGCAGGTCGCTCAGGTGTAAACTCACCAGCCACTTAAGCTACACCTTGATAGTAACAGGCTGGACTCCGTGTTCACCTGAAGAGAAAAACACACGGATTCTTCAGGAACTGTAGTCCGTATCGTCTTCGTTCATTTGCACGCTGCACATCCATGATGCTAAACTGCAGCTCCACCATATTTCAGCAGCACGCTGTTGGATTCAGATCTGTGACTCAGAGCTCATTCATCCACAATGAACTGATTGTGATGTTGGAGAAACTGATCCACTTTATCACACGGTGTGTTATCCTGCTGGAAGCAGCCACCAGGAGAGGGGCGTGTCCTGGTCCTGGCGTGTTGCTTTCTGCTGCATGCTGTCAGTGCATGCACACTCAGGATGCTCTTCTGCTTACTTTGGTTGTAACAAGCCCAGGGCTGCATGATATGGCCTAAAATCCATATCGCTGTATAATTTGAAGCATGTGCGTGTAATGATATCTATGGTGATATTCTTTTCTTCTACTGTTGTTCCAGATTTACATAGTCTACAACAAGAGGACGGGGAAGCCTCGGGGCTATGCATTCATTGAATATGAGCATGAGAGAGACATGCACTGTGAGTACCAATATGAACCCAAACATTTTCTTTCTTAAAGACCAAATACTGTGCAGGGCATTTCTCCTCTGCAGCTGTTTGTAGCAGCAGCAGCTTTCTCTGTAGTGACTGCTGCTGAGCCCAGCTGCTGGTTAGTGCTGGAGCTCTACAGTGTGTGTGTGTGTGTGTGTGTGTGTGTGTG